TGAAGGCAGACGCCCAAAGACTGAGCCACCCAGGCGCCCCGAGATACCATTTTTTTAAACCTTTAAATTAACAAGATGTTTGATAATTAACAAACTCTTTGATACATGTGAAAATCAGTATGGGCAAGGATAAAGTGTGTTAACAGTGGCCATGTAAATTGATAACATGTTTTTGGAAAACAGTTTGTCAATAGGTGTTGTATTATTAAAATGTTTGCACTCTCTTGTTACTCCTGCTTTTAAGAATCCAGCTTAAGGGAAAAATCAGTAAGCATGAAGAAGTTCCTTATAGCATTATTTATAGTAGTAAAAATGTGGGAAAACATAAGTGTCCAGAATAGGAGAAATATGTTAGTGGAATATTCACTCAGAAATATGTAGTCAGAAATGATGTTTAGAAAGAGCCCTGTATATTGATATGGAAAGATAACTAAGAGATACTATCTAAAAAAAGATCAGATGGAAAAGAAAGTACAATATAATACTGTTTGTGTGTTATTTAACAGATAAAAATTATTACTATCTATCCACACAGAGTTTCTGGAGATCTATAAGAGAGGAAATAGCACTGGGTGGAAGGAGGCAAGAAATTTAACATTTTTTTGATATTATCTGTAGCAAATGAGTTTTTTTTTAAAACTCCGGTGTGGTGTTGTAATAAAACTGTAAAAGATTGTGAAGGCCGTTGTAACATATAAAAATATTTGAATGTCAAACAACAAGATGAAAAAGTGAACGTGTAAAGTGTAGTTGTCTATGTGACAAAAGAATAGAAAAAGAAGAGCCAAGATCAGTCATGTTAAAAGTCCTGGGATGTTTTTCAATTTCTCTACTTTCCATTTAAAAAATTCTTTTATATTAATTATGTGAAGATAGTTTTAACGAAATAGTTACATGCTTAAAAATACACGAAGAGGGACTAATTCTTTGTTATAGATGGATTTGCCCTGTCAGAAATCCCATGTCCTCATTTTCTGTTCAAAGCTCTGGGTGACCTGGGGATAATGTGGCACCCCTTGTTGTGAGGGTCTTTTCCTTCTTCCCCTTTGCCTCTTGACTCAGGCTTTGGGGATTCTCTTCCTTCTGTGCAGAGCCCACCCACTTTTGGGTTCCTGTTGGACATTGATGGAGTGCTGGTGCGGGGTCACAGAGTGATCCCCGCTGCTCTGGAAGCGTTCCGCAGGCTGGTGAATGCTCATGGGCAGCTGCGGGTGCCTGTGGTCTTTGTCACGAATGCTGGGAACATCTTACAACACAGCAAAGCCCAGGAGCTGTCAGCCCTGCTGGGGTTCAAGGTAAGGAGGCACCAGAGAAATGGGAGCCCAAAGAGCTGGCTGCCAGTGGAACTCCCATTCCAACTCTGACTAAGTTGCCTTTCCTGGGTTGGGGTACAGTGCTGATAAGCCCTAGGGCATGGCCCGCTAGGTCAGTAGTAGAAAATAATAACTTGAAGCTCAAGCCTAGCCTCATGAGTAGAGCCTTACAGCAGGAGCATTTTTTATGTATCACCTCACCTCAAGCACAAAAAAGTTCTGCCCATGGATTTGGCAGTATCAGTTTGCTCTCTTTGTATCCATTTCTTTTCTGGGCATCAGGGTTGTCTCTTTTGGATCGTCGGCCCCTGGAAAGTGAGGGTCACATTTTTCTCTATGTCTATATACCAGTGGGACTCTGAGATAATAGCCTTTGTTTCTCATAAATCTGAATACATATCTGAATGAGCATTGTCCCTGAAAAGCAGTCCCTCTTCACCCACTTGCAGTTCCACATGGTATATCAGTGTTGACACGTCCTTCTTTATTAAGGGGGATTGAGTTCTTTGAAAGAGCCCTTTCAACCAGAAGAGTAAATAAAGTGGCTGATTGACTGGGTAACACTGCTTGGGGGTGAACGCAGAACAAAGGAGTACAACTGGTTTCTTTCTATGGTTTCCGGAGAGGGTTCCAAAAACATTTGGAGTATTGGCTGCATCGTTGGAATTAGTACTATAAATGTTAAAAAGCTAAGTCTTTTTTTTTTTTTTTTTCAAAGATTTTATTCATTCATTTGAGACACAGATATACAGAGAGAGAGCACGAAGAGGGGGAGAGGGAGAAGCAGGCTTCCAGCTGAGCAGGGAGCCCGATGTGGGGCTTGATCCCAGGACCCTGGGATCATGACCTGAGCTGAAGGCAGACCCTTAACGACTGAGCCACCTAGGCGCGCGGCGCCCCCCCCCTCAAAAAAAGCTAAGTCTTGAAGTAGAATTGAAAACAGAAAGTCAGAGGCAGATTTCTGTGACCGTGACAAAGAACATGCCCATAAACCTTGAGGTCTCCAGATGGAGGAGGAACTGAGCAGAATGGGATTGGTGAATGGTCAGAACCCAGGACTGATGGCATTTCCTGCTTGTTCGTTTTTTGTGGCAAGAGCCAAATTAGGTTCTTCTCGCACCTGTTTGGGTAGTGTCTAGAAGTGTTGGGTGCCAGAAAGGGCTCCCCACTTTTTTTTCTGGGCAGTTTTTCCCTTCCTAAGTGAAAGAAGCCACCCGTCTCCCCATTATTTTCCATCAACTTTGTGTCTCCTCTGTTTTCTTCTGTCTTTTGACGTCCCTACAGGTGGAGCCAGACCAAGTCATTCTTTCTCACAGTCCCATGAAGCTTTTCTCACAATATCACAACAAGCGGATGCTGGTGTCTGGGCAGGGGCCCCTGGTGGAAAATGCCCGAGTGTATCCTTTCAGTGCTTCTTGTTCTGGCTGAAGAGGAGGGGGCAGGACTGGAGTTTTTCTCCCATGGCTGGGGGGTGTGTGTGGACAGGACCATAGTGAGGTGTGCTGGCTGCATGGTGCCAGGGCTTAAGGGATACATAGTGGGCTCTCGAGGGAGGGAGGATGGCTCCCAGGTATGGCCAGTCCTGGTGCCATAGTTTCCAAAAAGTCAGCCACTGAATCAGAACCTACTGGGGAGCTTAAAATACAGATTCTTGGTTCACTAGGTCTGAGCGAAAAATCAGCAGTCTGTATGTTAGAAGACTAGGTGGTGATTCTCTAATTAGGTTTGGAACCACTGCTCTAGCACTGTTCCTTGGCGTGCTCAATCAACTTCTCAGCTAATATTAAGTATCCACAGTGAACCTGTGGGTCTGTGCATACTCAAGAGGCAGAAGAGTTGTTGCTTGTTCTCAAGTAGCACATTCATTTGCTCATATGGCAGACCTGTGTTGAGCACTTTCCGGGTACCAGCCCCATCCTGCACGTTCTTCAGGGACGATGGGGACCAAGAACAGCACGTGGGACTCTGTCTTCATCAAAGGGTTCATATGAGAGGCAGGAGTAACACACCCACAAAGGATAAAGGAGTACTTAAGATGGCATATGATCGGGGTGCCTGAGTGGCGCAGTTGATAAAGGTCTGACTCTGATTTCGGCTCAGGTCGGGATCTCAGGGTCATGAGATTGAGCCCCGCATTGGGCTCCCATGCTGGGTACAGAGTCTGCTTAAGAGTCTCTCTCTCCCCCTGTCCCTTTGCAACCCCCTCCACTCCCTCTGTAAGAGAAAAGCAGATTCCCAAGCCTAGACATCAAGCCCAGCAGGGATCTACATTTAAAAAAAAAAAAAAAAAAAGATGGCATATGACTGAAAACTTAGAAGCACAGTATAGGTTCTGAGAGTCCCAGGTATTGGGGAGGGAACACCCTGGGAGCGGCTGTGACTGGGGGCTTCATGGAGGGGCTTGGCTCAGAGATGGTTATGGGTAAGGTTTTCTGTGCAGGGAAGGATCTAAGAAGGCTGGAGAGAGAAGGGAAGGTGAGGATCCGTGAAGCAGGAGTTTGGATTGGGATAGGGTGGGGAGTGAGAGAACAGGAGGAGTGGCACCTCAGAAGGGAAGGCAAGAGGCCAGTGAGCTTACTTATGAGGGCACAGGGAATCTTTGCAGGTTCTGTTGCTATTGGGTGGTCTGACAGAAGCAGCATTTTCAGGAGATTAATTTTGAAAGTAATTTGAAACCATGTCCGGTTAAGATTGTAAGTGGGAATTGAGGACAGAAAAATGGAGGCAGGTCTCGGAGAGATAAGGTTGGCACTGGCTTTCTGCTCTTCATGGCCTCCCAATCCTGTCTGAATCTGGTTCATCTTCAAGAGTTAACTCAAGTCTGACTTCCCTGGACTCTGCCCAGCTACCAGCCCAGTGACGAATCTCCTCTTTTCAACTCCTCAAAACCAGCACTGTTCAGAGAGTGCTGGTTTAGATGGGCCCTGGGCATGTGGTGAGCTCCTTGAGGCCAGACATTCTTGTGTGCCTTTGTGCCCTGGTAGTGCCCAGCGTGGGACCTGGCACCCTGCTGCCGCACCGCTGTGGCAGGGTGCATTCCTACTATGCCTGTGTAGTCATGGCCCCTTTGCCGGCACCTTCGGGATTGGTGTCGGCCTTCCGGGCTGTGTCTGGGCTCTCACTGCTTCACCCTTGTCCAGGGATTGGGTGCAGTAGTTCAGTTGGGACTGTGTTGGTTCCCCTCACCTTAAAGGCATCTTCCCCCAGAACTGTCCAGCTTTGCTTCCCTGACCTTGCTGTAGACTGGGCTTCGAGAATGTGGTTACTGTGGATGAGCTGCGGATGGCCTTTCCTGTGCTTGACATGGTGGATCTCCAGCGGCGGCCGAAGACCACGGTAGTAAAGCTCATGCCCCTGGGGGTCTCATGTTTAGTTTTGTTCTCTTGTTCCCCATGTGGGGTCCTCTTACTAGCTTTGCAGCCCTCCCACTGAGAGCCGCATCTTATCCACCCTAGAGAGGCACATCCAGCCAAGGATTTTGTTCTCCAGATATATAAGGATGGCCAGAGGAGCAACAAGCTCCTGAGGGCTTTCCTTTTTGCCTTGTTTGTAATTAGCTGAGAACTCCTTTCAAAGCCCTAGCCTCTCCAATGAGGAGTTTTCTCCTTTACCAGCTGGTTTTCTGAGTGTTGCTTGGGAAAATCATTAACCTTAGTGAAATTAATCATTGCTGCTCCTTTATCCTAAAGCTTGCTGTGGAGAGCTGTCCTTATGAGAAACAGCTTGCTCATCAAAGTAACTGGCAATTCTGAGTATGCCCATGTTCCTTTTGGGTTTGGCTCATATTTGAACCACTGGTTTGATTTCTTATTTCTTCTGATCACTAGTCACAGGGCTTCTCATTGATCCTTTAGAGTATGACTTCTTGGCTCTTGATGGCCCCTTCCTTGCCTCCCCCCTTCCTCATGTGAACTCTATCACCGTAGCCTGCAGTCTAAATCAGACCACTGTCAAAATGTGGGGAAATGTAGTTATAAACATACAAGCTTACTTTTGTTTGTTTATGTAGCGTTAGTCCTCCTTCCTCTAGAGCTTCCCATTTGAACAGAACACTTTTTCACCTTCGAAAGCCTCCTCCTAGGATCATGCAAATTATGTGGGGAACCAGAATGTCCGAGTTGGAACAGCTCTTAGAGCAGCTCAGAGACTGAGCCCCACACAGGGGAAGTGACCTACTGCAGGTCACATAGCTGGTTAGTGGTAGAGCCAAGACTAATGGTTTAGGGAAGGAACAGACCCCAGAGGATTGGTAAAGTGGAGGCTCCTGCCTCTTCATATCACATCAAGAGAAATGGTCCATCATGCCCTGGTGACCTCCCTTTTCTCCATAGGCTCACCTTCATCTTAGCTACCTGATTCTAGACTCTTGCTTGGCCCATATCTCACATCTTGTCTTCACTGGAGAGGGACAGCTAACCAGCCCTTTCTCCTGGCTGACCTCCATATGTGGCTTCCCTCAGCGTGTTCTGTGAGAGTCCTGCTCTCTTCACTTTTCTTTGTTTTCTTTCCTTTTTTTCCTTTTTTTTAAAGATTTTATTTATTTGACGGAGAGAGAGAGTGAGCACAAGCAGGGGGAGCAGCAAAGGGAGAGGGAGAAGCAGACTCCCCACCGAGCAGGGAGCCCCACATGAGGCTCGATCCCAGGACCCTGGGACCACGACTCGAGCCAAAGGCAGAAGTCCAACCAACTGAGCCACCCAGGCGCCTCTCTCTTCACTTTTCTTTGTGAATTTTCTTCCTCAGTCCTATCCAGCTTCTCCTTGGCTTGGGCTAGATCATGGGGGTGGTCTTTGATCTGTCTAGAATGTGTCTTTCCCCCTGCCACTTGTTATGATGTAGTTGTGTGGTTGTCTGGTAGTGGACAGTGACTGTGGCATTGACGGGCCTTTTCTTTGTTTCTTGCCAGCCCCTTCCAAGGAACGACTTCCCTGCCATTGAAGGTAATGAGGGCCTCTGCTGGTGTAGGTGTGGCTCTGGGCAGTTCTCCTTTTGGTCCTCCAGGCTATTCTCTTGCAGCTGTTTGCCTGGAGACTGGTAGGGTGGTTGCAGGAGTTGGATATCAGGTCACCTGGGTTCCAGTCTCAGATCTGCCCCTCAACACCTCTGAGACACTGGTTTTTAATCTTTCCTTCCCCATATCACTTGCTCTATTATTCCAGAAAAATTGTTTTTATTTATTTGTTTTTTTATAATTTTTTTTTAAAGATTTTATTTATTTTATTTCAGAGAGAGAGAGCACAAGAGGGGGGGAGTGGGAGGGGGAGAAGCAGACTCCCCGCTGAGCAGGGAGCCCGATGTGGGACTCGATCCCAGGACCCAAGGATCAAGACCTGAGCCGAAGGCAGACGCTTAACGACTGAGCCACCCAGGCATCCCCAGAAAAATTGTTAAGTGTAGAAAATCTTAGCATGGAAAGGCTCCCAGAGGTAATATAGGCCAGTGTTTCTCAGCTCCATTAAACCCAGTTCCCCCTCGTGTAACAAAAATACCATAATGTCCCCTTAACTGCCCTGCAATGAAATTCATAGATAACACAACTTTCCTGTATACATATATTAAAAATTAACTAATTCAGTATAAAGCCCTAATTGTAATATGGAGAAATAAAAGGAAAATTTTTAGTAAGGTAATGTGTATTTCAATATGTAAATAATTATTCAGGAAGACATAATAAAGTAGTAAAATGATTATACCAAACATGGAATCACCGTGAATGTCATAGCTACAAATGCAGACTGATGTAAGTGTGTTTATAGGTGTGATATAGGTGTATTTTATTTATGGGTGACTCAGAAATTAGGGGCTGCATTGTCATTGGTGAAGTGATTTTCCAATATAAGGAACAACTATTGGTAAACTTTTGAAAAGATAAAGTGCAGTCTTCTCTTGACTTACATGATAGTTGCATTTTTAGAAAATTAGTGTTTGTTAAAACCTTTGTGTTTATATGTAGAATGAAATTAGGGCTGAGGCTCAATTACTTATAAACAGGTTATTCACCCATGTGAAGGTCAGATGGGATACTCAAATGTTAATAGGGGGCAGTTTCTGATTGTTCGGGACTGTCCTGAGCATCTAGCATTCGTGGCCCCCTCCCACGATCCTTGCCACTAATTGTCAGTCATGGTGACAATTAAAATACATCCTCCAGTTTCTGGAACACCTCCCTAGGGGGCAATACTCTCCCATGAGACCACTGGTTTGGTTCAGTCACTGGTCTTGTAGCTGATATTGGCAGCTACCATGTATTGAGTGTTAGGTGTCCAGCATGGGTTAATTATATCTCATTTTCACCCTAAACAGTCATAGGTATCGTTATGATGTAGTTGAGGCTGAGTCTTAGAAGGTAAGTAACTTGCCCATAGTCACAAGGAAAATGGACAGTCAGGTTTGGAATGCAGGTCTGTGTCACTCTAGATCCTCCTCTCCTAGCTGTTAGGTTTACTGGCCCCTGGGGCTCAGAAGTGGCTGAGGAAGGCGAGCCCTTTGCCAGGTACTTGTGGGTGAGGTGGTTGGGAGAGCATTAGTCAGCAGGAGGAAGCAGGCCTGAGACTTGGCTGCTGGTTTTCTTTGTTTTAACCTCTTCTGTGAAGTACTGGTGAATACAAGTGAAAATGGGAGCCTTTAGGAAGTGCCTTCCCACGTCCTGGGCTTTGATTACCATGGGTGAATGGATCTTTGAAGGCTGATTCTGGGAACTGTGCCCTTGCCAGGGGTGTGTACTGTGGGGAAAGAGCCTGTGGTTGGGTGGCACCAGCTGGCATCAGCTGGCTTCCTGAGGGCCTTCTTCCTGTCTGCCACAGAGGCCAGGCAGAGTGCCCAGTAACCCTCACCTCCATGCCTTTGCTCTTTAAAGGAGTGCTTCTCCTTGGGGAGCCAGTCCGCTGGGAGACAAGCCTGCAGTTGATCATGGATGTCCTTCTCAGCAATGGAAACCCTGGGACTGGTCTGGCGATGGCCCCTTATCCCCATCTCCCTGTCCTGGCCAGCAACATGGATCTCCTTTGGATGGCTGAAGCCAAGATGCCCAGGTAAGGACACAGAGTCCCTGGCCTTGACCGTCATGGCCACTGCCAGCTGCTGCCTGGGCAGTCTTGCTGACAGTTTCCTGCCATCATTCTGGTATTCTGGGCGGTCACAGGAGCCCTGTATTTGCCACAGAAACTTGGCCTTCTGGGAGGATTTTCAAGGGGTTATTTTGCATACTAATTAGTAAATGAAAAGTATAGCTGACTGATCACTGAAGATATGTTGAGATGATTTTTTTTTTTTAAAGATTTATTTATTTATTTGAGAGAGCGAGAATGAGAGAGAGAGAGTACATGAGAGGGGGGGAGGGTCAGAGGGAGAAGCAGGCTCCTCGCTGAGCAGGGAGCCCGATGCGGGACTCGATCCCGGGACTCCGGGATCATGACCTGAGCCGAAGGCAGTCGCTTAACCTACTGAGCCACCCAGGCGCCCCAAGAGATGATCTTTAACATAGGTCCTTTGCCCTCCAGAATCTTTTTTAATATTTTATTTATTTATTTAGAGAGAAAGAGAGAGCATGAGTGGGAGGGGCAGAGGCAGAAGGAGAGGGAGAGAATCTCAAGCAGACTCCACACTGACCCGACTTGGGGTTCACTCCCATGACCCCAAGATCATGACCTGAGCTGAAACCAAGAGTTGGATGCTCAACCAACTGAGCCCAGGTGCCCCTGCTCTCCAGAATCTTAACAGAACATGTTATTTTATTTTTTTTAAGATTTTAAATTTCTTTTTAAGTAATCTCTACCCCCAACATGGGGCTCAGACTCACAACCCTGAGATCAGGCATTGCGTGCTCCACCGATTCAGCCTCTGGGTGCCCCCAGAACATGTTATTTTTTGTGTGTAGAGCCCCCAGAACATGTTATTTTTTGTGTATAGAGCCCAAACAATGGATGACTTCGGAGGCCTAGCAGTACAGCTGCTCCTTCTTGCCTCCTCCCTGTGGCACTGGGTTCCCTCCCTTTTTGTCTCCTCCTGCCCTTAAGATGTAGGGGCAGTGGGGGCAATAGTTATTCTGATGGTTAGGTAGGCCAGAGAACTGAGACCCAGTGGGTAAGTGACTTTCTCAAAGGCACACAGGTACTGAGCAGGCTCTGCTCAGCTGTGTAGACCTCCTCTGTCCTGTCTGAGGCTAAGCGCAGTCTAGGCAGCTCTAGCCATGGAGGGCCTTCCTGGAAGGGCAGCTGTGGCTACTGTACTGTTTGGCTGCTCTTATCTGCAGGGCCAAAGTCCAGAGTTTTCTTTCCCTGCTACTAATTCCCAGTGGGCTGTGTGAGTGATCCGTCAACAGAGGGCAGCAGGCCCAGTGCTGCCTCAGGTCACATGACTCAGTAACTCCAAAGAGATGGGTGTTACGGTGTTCTCTTGTTACTTTCGTTTTATTTATTTATTTTTTTTAAAGATTTTATTTATTTGACAGAGAGACACAGCGAGAGAGGGAACACAAGCAGGGGGAGTGGGAGAGGGAGAAGCAGGCTTCCCGTGGAGCAGGGATCCCGATGTGGGGCTCGATCCCAGGACCCTGGGATCATGACCTGAGCCAAAGGCAGATGCTTAACGACTGAGCCACCCAGGCGCCCCTCTCTTTTTACTTTAAAACATGTATTTCTGCAGCTTGAGGTTAGATATTTTCTCTGAAGTATTCTTCCTACAGTTAGGGTGTGCCGACACTAGGTGAGGGGAGTTTGGCTATGTAGGCTGGAATGGAATAGCAAGGTGCAAATTTCAATTTATAAATCAGATTTAAGATTAATTTTCATTCACTAATTTAAAAATTGAAAATAGAATTCGTCATATAAATAAGTGACAACACTGAAATACAACCTTAATATGTTGGACAGTATTAGTTAAAATTTAGTTTAGCAGCCAGGGATGAAAACCCAAAATGAAAATGTCTTTTTTTTTTTTTCCTTCAAGACTTCATTTATTTATTTGTCAGAGAGAGAGCACAAGCAGGGGGAGCAGCAGAGGGAGAAGCAGGCTCCCTGCAGAGCAAGGAGTCTGAATCGGGACTCGATCCCAGGACCCTGGGATCATGACCCGAGCCAAAGGCAGATGCTTAACCAACTGAGCCACCCAAGCATCCCAGCCCCTGAAAGTGTCTTAAGATAGAAGTTTCTTTCTCATGTAAGAGAAGAATGGAGGTAGGCAGTCCAGGGCTTGTGTGAATGTCACACCTGTCTGGGACATAGGCTTCTCTTGTCTTCCTGCTGTGTGATCCTTAGCCCTTCACAGCATAGTCCCAGATGGCTGCCTGAGCTCCAGCCGCCAGACAGTAGCAAGGAGTGGGGGAGGATGGAAAAGAGTACCTGCTCCCCAGTTTTACACTTCCTAGAGGTTTAGCCCAGCACTTCTGATTTCATGGACTCTTTGGCTGTAGCTTACTCGCATGGCTGCACACCTAGCTGCGGTGGTGCAAGGGAATACTTTTGTACACCCATTTGCAATATGGTGAGCTGAAAACTGGCACTGAGAAAGAAGGGGAGAAGGGCAACCGGTCATCTGCCACAGATTTAAAACCGAATTTAAACTTAGGTTTGTGGAGTCTGACTGCCTGGGTTATAATCCTAGCTCTACCACCTGGGGCAAGTTACTTAATCTCTCTATGCCTCAGTTTCCTCACTTGTAAATGAAAATGATGACAACTCTCATGGGGTTATTCTGAGAGTTAAATGTGGTATGCCTCTCTAGTGTTCAACAAATGTTAGTCGATAACAGCAGGTCATAAAGATAGGTAATAGATGTAATTCTTACTAGAAGTAATTTCACTTTATCTGTCACCATCAAGGTGTTGGAGGGAAAGGTTGGTGTATAGGGTCCTGCTTAGAGCCAGAGAGAGGAGGCCTGAGCTGCTGAGCTCTCTTCTCTGGCAGGTTTGGCCACGGCACCTTTTTGCTGTGCCTGGAAACCATTTACCGGAAAGTGACAGGCAAAGAACTGAGATATGAGGGCCTAATGGGCAAACCCAGCGTCCTCACTTACCAGTATGCAGAGGACCTGATCCGGCAGCAGGCGGAGAGGCGGGGCTGGGTGGCCCCCATCCAGAAGCTCTATGCTATCGGGTAAGTGCTATTCCATCTCCTCATCACTTTCGGACTTCCCCTGCCCTTTCTCTCTACCTATTCACCCACCTGTTTCCCGGTATCTAATACACACTAGTCCCACAATTGTCCTCTGCTCTCTTTGCCTTGTAACACTGAACTGGGGTTTTCTGTTCTTTCCTTTTCTGGTATGGCTGCCCCTGCCAGTGATAACCCTATGTCTGATGTCTACGGTGCCAACCTGTTCCACAAGTACCTGCAGATGGCGAAGCATGATGGGGCAGAGGAGCGGGGGGCCGATGGCTTGTGGAAGCGGCGGCCCTCAGCAACCCAGAGCTGTGCCTCTATCCTGGTGTGCACTGGTGTGTACAATCCCAAGGGCCCAGAGCCCACCAGGCCCGCCCAGGATGCAGAGGAGGCTCCATTCCATGGGCACCGGGACTTCAGCTTCAGTCCAGGGCTCATGGAGGCGTCCCACATTGTGAATGATGTGAACGAGGCTGTACAGCTGGTTTTCCACAAGGAGGGTTGGCCTTTGTAGTGAGGGCTGTGCGTTGGAGACAAGGGGGGTTGGGACCCTGGAGCTAGAGGGGAGTCGGGACCCTGGAGCTAGAGGGGAGTCCTGTTAACTGGCTTCTGGCCCACATCACTGGGCATCAAGTCAGGGCTGCTTCCTGTGACACTTTCTGTAGCCCCACGGTGGATATTACTGGTCACTTAGAAGAAGACACTGGCTTTTTCTTCTGCTGGGCAGTAGCCACAGAATTGTACCCGGGGTAGAACAATCAGGATTTTCTGGGCTCAGTTCCTGTCTGCTTCTCCTGGCAGTCTGACCTTGGGCCAGTCCCTTTACCTCTGTGCCTCAGTTTCTTCTCTCATTTCAGTAGGGACTTCTGAAAAAAGGGGAAGTGGTGTGAAATAATGCAGAGCCTTGCCTGCACTGAAGGCACCACTGCATGCCAGCAAGGTGCGTCACTAACACTATGATACTGCTTTTTATTGTATTTTAGCTTATTGCCCAGAGACTTTTAGGCTTATTTTTTTAAATTAAAATAATCATAATAAATATTCATTATGCTGTCAATTGTGAAGCGCTTCTGGAATGTACTAAAAAGTCCTGTGGGGGAAGGATGGTGGGTGAGCAACGTGGGTGACCCTGAAGCAAAGAGATCGGTGCCATTTTCTCCCGTAACATGTTGATGTCTCCTTTCCTACCTTTTTCTCCTTCCCACCACCAATCTACTCCTGGCCTGCAAAGCCCGAGTCTGTCTGGGAATTAGTTATGCCCAGGATTTGGCATGTACTTGACAACTCCTCTGATGTGGAAAAGAAAGGATCGTGTTTATGGTTTCTTCTGAAGGAAGGCGCTTTTCCTATAGTGATCCTGCAAAGTATGTGTTTCTTATATTCCTCCCTCTAGGAGTGACCCATTTCCACTTTCCCATGGTCTATGTTGTCCACAACCCGTGTTTGCCAAATCCCCTGGTCCTTGCCCTCTTGTTACTCTAGCAGTCATTTGCATGTGACACAAGCTGGTGACTCCCTCCCCTCTTCTCAAAACACTCTTTTTTTTTTTTTTAAAGATTTTATTTATTTATTTGAGAGAGAGAGAAACAGCATGAGGGGAGAGGGTCAGAGGGAGAAGCGGCTCCCTCCTTTTTTTTTTTTAAGATTTTATTTATTTATTAGAGAGAGAATGAGAGATAGCACAAGAAGTAAGTTCTTACCCTAAGAACATACAATGCTGTAGAATGTATTTTTTTTAAAGATTTTATTTATTTATTTGACAGAGAGAAACACAGCAAGAGAGGGAACACAAGCAAGGGGAGTGGGAGAAGGAGAAGCAGGCTTCCTGTGGAGCAGGGAGGCCGATGTGCAGCTCAATCCCAGGACCCTGGGATCATGAACTGAGCGGAAGGCAGACGTTTAACGACTGAGCCACCCAGGCGCCCCTAGAATGTATTTTTTATTTTTATTTTTTTCTTAAAGATTTTATTTATTTATTTGAGAGAAAGAATGAGAGAGAGAGAGAGTACATGATAGGGAAGAGGGTCAGAGGGAGAAGCAGACTCCCCGCCAAGCAGGGAGCCCGATGTGGGACTCGATCCCGGGCCTCCAGGATCATGACCCGGGCCGAAGGCAGTCGCTTAACCAACTGAGCCACCCAGGCGCCCCTCACGGACTTCTTGACCCCTTTGTTTGGATGCATGCCTGGTAGTCATTCAGAGGGGAGGGAACATAGGAGATTGGGAAGGAGTGGCCACTGAAATAGGCGGGGAATCATGAGTGGGTGGGTGTCTGGTAAGCTGAGTGAACATGTTCCACAAAGGAGGGAGTGATGAGCTGTGCTCACTCTATAAGTATCAGAGCTCAGCTGTGTCCAAAGCCAAACGTAGCCCAGCCCTACTGCTGCACACCACTCCCCCGCCGCCGTAGACAGTAGCACTCAAGACACTGCACTTATCCTTGTCTTCTCTTTAATCTCCTACAGCCAGTCCATCTGCATATCCTGCAGCTTTGCCTTCAGAATGTACCGAGTGTGAGCACTTTCCAGCCTTCAATGCTGCCCCGCTCCAGGCTGCTGGCTTCTCTGGCCTGCATTGTTGTGGCAGCCTCCAGTCTAACCTCCCTGTCTCATCTCCTCCTCCCTCTCTGCGGCTCTCCCCTCAGCGCCCCAGAAGCCACGTCCTAAGTTTGACCTGATCAAAACCCTCCTGTGACTTCTGGTCTTACCCAGAAGAAGAGCCCACATTCCTTATTGCAGCACAGATGCCTTTCCATCCTGTTCTCCCACTTTCCCCTTCATGTCATCCCAGCCCCGCTGGCTCCCTTGCCAGTCCACTGGACCCATTCCTGTCCCAGGACCTCTGCACTTGCCGTTCCCTCTATCCTACCTCCACTATCCATATGGCTCACTCCTTCCAGTGAGGGCTGTGCGTTGGAGACAAGCGCGATCGGGACCCTGGAGCTAGAGGGGAGTCGGGACCCTGGAGCTAGAGGGGAGTCCTGTTAACTGGCTTCTGGCCCACATCACTGGGCATCAAGTCAGGGCCGCTTCCTGTGACACTTTCTGTAGCCCCACGGTGGATATTACTGGTCACTTAGAAGAAGACACTGGCTTTTTCTTCTGCTGGGCAGTAGCCACAGAATTGTACCCGGGGTAGAACAATCAGGATTTTCTGGGCTCAGTTCCTGTCTGCTTCTCCTGGCAGTCTGACCTTGGGCCAGTCCCTTTACCTCTGTGCCTCAGTTTCTTCTCTCATTTCAGTAGGGACTTCTGAAAAAAGGGGAAGTGGTGTGAAATAATGCAGAGCCTTGCCTGCACTGAAGGCACCACTGCATGCCAGCAAGGTGCGTCACTAACACTATGATACTGCTTTTTATTGTATTTTAGCTTATTGCCCAGAGACTTTTAGGCTTATTTTTTTAAATTAAAATAATCATAATAAATATTCATTATGCTGTCAATTGTGAAGCGCTTCTGGAATGTACTAAAAAGTCCTGTGGGGGAAGGATGGTGGGTGAGCAACGTGGGTGACCCTGAAGCAAAGAGATCGGTGCCATTTTCTCCCGTAACATGTTGATGTCTCCTTTCCTACCTTTTTCTCCTTCCCACCACCAATCTACTCCTGGCCTGCAAAGCCCGAGTCTGTCTGGGAATTAGTTATGCCCAGGATTTGGCATGTACTTGACAACTCCTCTGATGTGGAAAAGAAAGGATCGTGTTTATGGTTTCTTCTGAAGGAAGGCGCTTTTCCTATAGTGATCCTGCAAAGTATGTGTTTCTTATATTCCTCCCTCTAGGAGTGACCCATTTCCACTTTCCCATGGTCTATGTTGTCCACAACCCGTGTTTGCCAAATCCCCTGGTCCTTGCCCTCTTGTTACTCTAGCAGTCATTTGCATGTGACACAAGCTGGTGACTCCCTCCCCTCTTCTCAAAACACTCTTTTTTTTTTTTTTTTAAAGATTTTATTTATTTATTTGAGAGAGAGAGAAACAGCATGAGGGGAGAGGGTCAGAGGGAGAAGCGGCTCCCTCCTTTTTTTTTTTTAAGATTTTATTTATTTATTAGAGAGAGAATGAGAGATAGCACAAGAAGTAAGTTCTTACCCTAAGAACATACAATGCTGTAGAATGTATTTTTTTTAAAGATTTTATTTATTTATTTGACAGAGAGAAACACAGCAAGAGAGGGAACACAAGCAAGGGGAGTGGGAGAAGGAGAAGCAGGCTTCCTGTGGAGCAGGGAGGCCGATGTGCAGCTCAATCCCAGGACCCTGGGATCATGAACTGAGCGGAAGGCAGACGTTTAACGACTGAGCCACCCAGGCGCCCCTAGAATGTATTTTTTATTTTTATTTTTTTCTTAAAGATTTTATTTATTTATTTGAGAGAAAGAATGAGAGAGAGAGAGAGTACATGATAGGGAAGAGGGTCAGAGGGAGAAGCAGACTCCCCGCCAAGCAGGGAGCCCGATGTGGGACTCGATCCCGGGCCTCCAGGATCATGACCCGGGCCGAAGGCAGTCGCTTAACCAACTGAGCCACCCAGGCGCCCCTCACGGACTTCTTGACCCCTTTGTTTGGATGCATGCCTGGTAGTCATTCAGAGGGGAGGGAACATAGGAGATTGGGAAGGAGTGGCCACTGAAATAGGCGGGGAATCATGAGTGGGTGGGTGTCTGGTAAGCTGAGTGAACATGTTCCACAAAGGAGGGAGTGATGAGCTGTGCTCACTCTATAAGTATCAGAGCTCAGCTGTGTCCAAAGCCAAACGTAGCCCAGCCCTACTGCTGCACACCACTCCCCCGCCGCCGTAGACAGTAGCACTCAAGACACTGCACTTATCCTTGTCTTCTCTTTAATCTCCTACAGCCAGTCCATCTGCATATCCTGCAGCTTTGCCTTCAGAATGTACCGAGTGTGAGCACTTTCCAGCCTTCAATGCTGCCCCGCTCCAGGCTGCTGGCTTCTCTGGCCTGCATTGTTGTGGCAGCCTCCAGTCTAACCTCCCTGTCTCATCTCCTCCTCCCTCTCTGCGGCTCTCCCCTCAGCGCCCCAGAAGCCACGTCCTAAGTTTGACCTGATCAAAACCCTCCTGTGACTTCTGGTCTTACCCAGAAGAAGAGCCCACATTCCTTATTGCAGCACAGATGCCTTTCCATCCTGTTCTCCCACTTTCCCCTTCATGTCATCCCAGCCCCGCTGGCTCCCTTGCCAGTCCACTGGACCCATTCCTGTCCCAGGACCTCTGCACTTGCCGTTCCCTCTATCCTACCTCCACTATCCATATGGCTCACTCCTTCCCTTTTTTTTCCCTTATCACTTCTTAAATAGCTGGTGGATATGTCATCTCAAAGAGACTCTCTCAACTTCTTATAACAAGTAGTACTCCATCCCTCTTACTGCTTAATTTTTTCCATAGTCCTTATCACCCCATGATCTATATTTACATCTTTATTCTGTGTCTTCTACTAAAATACAAGCTCTGTGGACTTTGTCCATATTGATTCACTCTTGTGTCCCCACACCCATATGCCTGGCACTTGGTAAGTTTGCAGACCCTG